TAAAACTTGAGAAAGCCACTAACGGGAAAGTTTGGGTGCACAGACCACAAAGGCCTAGTCTGGGGAAAGAAACAGAACAGAAGACAGAACGCCCAGTAACAGATCAGCTCTGCCCAATCAAAGAAGCTTACATCAATGATTGTCAATCACTTATCAGGAACTTCCTTTCTGTTCCATGGGGCAAAAGGTAAGGAGAGTTACTCTAGAGAAGTCCCTCCACATGGAGGCCTGAGAAGTTGAGAAATATTTTCTCCCTAATAATTCACAGCTGTTTGTTCTGTCAACCCATTGGGTTTAACTATCAAGCCTACATTCAGCCAAGAGTATTCTCCCTTTCTGACAGGAGATCACAAGTCTGTTACAGCTGTTCTGGTCCACCTTCGTGAGCCCTCTCCCCAAGTCCTGGCTATGGTTGTCTGTGGAGCCTCCTATTAATGCTGGTAAATAGCACTGAATTTGCCCCCAAAAGGTTCTGAAAATAGTCACCAATTAAATTAACTCCAAGGCCATATAATGTCTAAATTTCTCATTCTAAGTTATGTCTGGCCACATCCAACACAGGTCATCAAAGGTTTTGCAAAGAGATTGAATAACAACATCAAGATGCCATTTAAGAAATGCCAACACATATAGGAGCCATAAATTTGAATACAAATTACCTTCCATTGTAATTTCCTAGAGAGACATTAATGTCCCCAAATTAAATTCCCTTACAAGTTAAAGTCCACAGGATTTAAAGTCTAAAGTAATTCAATCCAAAATCAAATTGCCTTATGTCTGTGTGTTTAATGTCCAAAGTCATTACAGAACAAAATAAAATTTTCTTGTCCTTGCAAGAAAAGTTCAAAGAAACTAAAATCAAAAGTTCTAAAATTAAAGTCCTGTAGTCACGCTTATCTTATTTCAAAAGCTTGTCTTCTTCTCAGTCACAGATAAAGGTGTCTCACTCTGAGCCTGAGTATAGTTGGGCTTCTTCAGCACTGCTGCCTGGGTCATCATGTTCCTTGAGAATGTGCACGTTTCCTCAGGACCTCAGAATTATAATCAGTTTCTTATGTGTCTCACTGTTTAACAATTCCAAAAAGTTGATAGACATAGAAGATTATATGTTCCACACCCAGTATAAGTTTAGAAAATACAGCCATCTCTATCCTTTTAGACCAGTTAACCCAGGCAGAGTTGTGTTCCCTGAACCCAACCTTTGATGTTGCAAAAGCCACTGCTGACACTCAAGGTAACCGACTGAGGGCAGGAAGGTAAATGGGGAACATTTTCTCCTTTCAGTCTCCCCAGGAGGACAGACTTTCCTAGAATCCACGAGCTGAGAACAAATTCACACAGAAGAAAGTGCCAGCAGGAGGTTATAATGGTGCTGGGATGTCCTTATTCGGGAGGAACACACACCTACCTCTACCATCTCCTCTCTCAGGTCACTGCATTAAGACATCACTGCCTTTCTTTGCGAACTATGCAAATTTGCAGTATTAGCAACCCAAATTCCCTAGTCATATTTGTGATTTCCACCCGCCATTTTTAAAGCCTCTTAACACAGTTCTTCTTTGAACCTGCTGTTTCTGGCACCTGAGCACTGTGTTTAGGATTCACTCAGTCTTCTGAAAAGGTATTTTCAGTTTTGCACCAACTCGGGCTGCTTCCATGGCTATTATGATGGAGTCACTCAGGCCTATAAAACATACCTTCTAGGGGACGCTTCCTTTTCATTCCCACATTTTCATCAACTGGAAAATCACCCTCAGAAGACGCCTGAACTAAAACCTCCATTGATATTCCTGAATCTAGTGCTTCTAGGGGCCACAGCTCTGCAATGTGATCACAACAACACGCTCCCTCAGGTTTGAATATTCTGGCCTGTGAATACCATTTCAAGTGCTCCCAGGAGAGAGAGGATGAGGAAAGCAGAAGGGAGAAGGGGGAAAGGCCAAGAAAAGGTCTGATTTCAGATAAAGTTCCAGCCTCAGCCTGAACCCTCAGGAAGTCTGGCAGTGTAAGTTGCACCTTGGTGACTGTCGGGTCTCCAGAAAAGAAGGCTGGCAGTGGGCTTCTGCCTCCGGGTGAGGCAGCCCACGCAGCCCCAGGGCAGTCCTCCGGGGAAGGCGGCAGCTGCGAGCACAGAAACTCATTTTGCACAACCTGCAAAGTATGCTTTTCAGTTTAATATCTTGGCCTGTAGACCTGGCTGAAAAACTGAGTAAAAGCAAAATTTGTTCTGCATCCTAATACTCGAAAAGCCTATTTACAGGAAGACTCTTTTTGCCCTATATTGAAACATTACTCTAGCTTGCTTGCCTACTGTCTGATCACCAGCATCTGCCAGGTGCCCTGTAATAAGAGTTTACTAAAATCCACACCGTTAAAAACAGCCACCTTCCCAGCAAAGGCTTCATAAGCTACTGAGACCCACCAAGGTTAAAACCCTACATGCCCTGTCTTCCTAAAGCCACCTCTCAGAGCCACTCCAGGAGACTCAACAGTGTGTGTTTATTTCATTCCCCAAATTCTCACCCTTATCTATTTCTCAAGGCTACTAACTGATGCATCAAAATCTGAATTTCTAATGAGGGTGTAATAAACAATGCTTGATGTTTCCCAACCTAAGTTTGGAACCAACTGAAAGGCAGACGAAGGGATCGGGTGGGTAAGATTAAAGCACCTCCTTTAGAGTCACAACGCACTTGGAGAACGTATACACGCCAGTCTGCCCCCAGACAGCAGTCCTACGCTGCAGAGGCAATGTCCTCTCCATTAAGTGTCTCACAGGGTGAAGAGACGGTCAAAAACGTACCTCTCCACAGGCAGGTAGACCCAAAAGAAGCAAAGAGAAGGGATGAAGCCATTCACGTCCAGGGTCCTCCTTACATACCAGCCAGTCAGGAAGGTCATTCACTGTCCCTGGGGGAGAAGCAGAGAGGAGATAGAGAAGTCAGGGATATTGAATCTAGGAGTTCCATGCTCGTAAAACATCAGGAGTCAGGAGTAAGTGTTCTCGTCTAACAATAGAACAGCTGATAGGGAGGTGAGGGATCACAGAATGAGAGCTCAGAAGAACTCAGAAGTCTACAGTCAGTGACCTAGAATAGTTTGCAATTGACCAACTCTCTTAAAAGGGCCAGATAGTTAATATTTTAGGCTTGTGGGCCATATGGTCTCTGTTAGAACTACTCAACTCCGCTGGTGTAGCCTGAGAGCAGTCACAGATTATACCTAAATAAATGGGCATACACTGTATATGTAGATTATATGTATATATGACACTGTATATATGTACATATGTGTATGTGTATGTGTATATATATATATTCATATTCTATGTGTGTGTGTATATATTTTCTCTTACAGCACTGTGCTGGCGAGGGACAGTTGCTGAGTAAATTATCTATTGCATGAATAGGATTGGCAAGACCTGAAGAGTAAGACAAAGCAAACAGAAGTGCTTGAAGGACACAAAACAAAAAGTATTCTGATAGGTTGTTATGTTGTTCTGGTCCATATGACTCAGCAGAAACCAGTCCCACCCTAGTTATCATACACTCAACTCTGGCTGCATTTTGGGGTTATCCAGAGAAGTTTACAAAATACTGATGCTTAGGTCCCACCCCAAGAGATTCTAACATGAAAGAATGACTGGGGTAACATTTCTCCAGCCAAGATGGAACATTAGATTAAATGGCAAAGTTCTGTGAAGAACGTGTGTGGATGAAACAGGATAAGGCTGGGTAAATTCCACTTAATTTCAGGAGGGACTGCAAACATTCCACATTCTATTTTTCCCGCCTGAAACTACAAGCCATGGTTGATTCCCAGATTGAGTCACAACTTTGCAATCCCCTCAAAGGGGAAATATCCTATTTGGAAAGATGAAATCAGGCTTTTTACTTTTCTATTTCCTTCTGCAGATTTAGAAGGGATGTTAATTTTGAGTGTTTAATGGATTTTCTAGGGTTTGTCACTCTCAGACCAGCTCTAACAGGGACATTTTGTCTTTAAAAATATTTGGTCATTAGCTGCTGTCCTCTTTCCACTATTACCAGTGTCCATTGCCCATTCTCCTATGTTAAATGTAAAAATCTGCTTTTTGCTCATCAGGAGATACAGCTCATGTCACCATCCTTAGTGAGAGGTTTTTACTTTCAGGGACTGAACATTAGCCGCAGTGTTTTCTACAACCAAGGTCTTACTGCCAGGAAAAAGAGGAAAATTGTTCTAAAAGCATTATAAATAGAATCTCCAGTTCTAAGTGAAGCAAAAGTGTGAAAATGTTACATTTATTGATTAGACTCTCAGGTCCTCACAGAGGTGGAGATACCAATTTCTGATTTTTCTACTCTGCAAGGACAATATAGATTTGCAAATTTTCTAGTAATGATCTAGGAAAAAATAGAAAACAATATCAAGGAGATAAAATTTAGTTTCGGGAATCACAGAAGGCAAAGAAATTTTATTTACGTCAAAGGAGTTAGTGAGGTCAAGAGAAGGGAAAAGCTTCCAAACATCGTCAGCAACCTGGGCCAAGGGCCTGAGAACAGAAAGAGCCTGGCACGTTCAAGGACCTGAAAGATGACCAGTGAGTCTAAAGCACTGTCAGCAAGGACAGGAGTGGCATGAGGCCAGGCTGGAGAGGTGTGCACGAGTGTCTCAAGGTCACACGGAAGGACTCGGGCACAACATCAGACACAAGCGAAGCAGCTCCTTTGAGAAGCTAACCTTGAGGACCTCTCTGGAGGTCTTTAGTCTCCTACTCAATTGTTCTGGCTATTTGCTGGTGCAGCCAGATCAAGGGAACAATCCGTTATCCAACACTACGCCAGATGGCCGGAATGGAGCAGGGAAGACTGGGGAAGTATCAGGCCTGGAAGAACACAAACTCAGTTTCTGACACATTAATTTGAGATGACTCTAATGAGAGACATCCAACTTGAAAGCTTAAGTTAGTATTTAGATTAGAAGCTCAAAAAAAAAGTCTGCGCTAAATTTATGAACCTGGTCACCATGGCAATCAACAATAGGAATAACTTGCTAATTTAAGGAGAAAAATTTATTGGAAAGATACTGGACAGCTCACAGAACTTCAAAGAAGTCTGGAGAAACACACTCAGAAGATAAGAAACCACAGGACACTGTCCAGCCAAGAGCACAGTGAAGATCATCCCACTGTTCCTCTGCTGAGGCCACGGAGCCACCACCGCTGGCCCTGGATACTGAAGGTGGCCACTGAGACCACAGTTCAAGTGCCTCCAGGATATGGACTTGGGTGCTGCTCATTCCCACCCAGAGGAACTCTCTACTGTCCCTGATTCTCTGAATCACTAACCTCCAATTCAAACCCAGGCACCGGCACCTTATTTGCCAAGTCCAACCTGCCCATACTCCATTGCCAATAATGAGGATAAATTCAATTACCAGGGATATTTATTTTGGATGGAGAGAAAGAGAACATTCTATAGAAATGGATAAGATCATTTAGGGAGCAAGTGAGAAAGGGAATGAAGGAAAGGAAATAAAAGGTACAGGACAGGAAGGGAAGAAATGCGGGAAGGGATGCTGGTTGTGGGAGCCTAGGACCAAGCCTTGAGACTCTCCAGCATCGAATTTTGCCTGAATTACGGCTGTCAAGACCTACTCTGTGATGATACATTACACATCAAATCTGCATAGCATTTTAACTTGAAAATAAGTCAGAAATAAAGATAGTATCCCTCATTTGGGAGTACAATTGATTTTAACAGATGATTCTCAAAGTGAATTCTAAGAATCACAGTACCAATCTGACCCCTGGAGATGGCATTTTCCACGTGACCTTGCTCACTCCGAAGTCAACTATAATTAAGTATGCCCATACGGATGTTAAATTATCCAACAATGACAGCAGCACAAAGAAAAGAACTGATAGAAATTCATATGAAAATTAATTGAAACACCGTATGTATTGTCTGGATGTACTTCAGTATCTTTAACTGACCTATGGCTCTTTGAGTAATTATCTGCAAATCTTCAAAAGTGGTGAGGCTTTAATCAAAAGCAAATAAAAAGGCACGCTACATCTTTTGTGCTGGGAATAAAACAGGGTCTAATTCCCTATGAAATAAATAACAGGCATTATGAAGAGAGTTCTCGTGGCAAAAATAAAGTATGTACGTTGGTGGGTAGATGGAACTCCCTCCTTGCCAAGTTAATATAGTTTTTCCAGACATTCTAGCCATTAAATATATCCCACTTAAATTCCTTTCCTGTAGGAAAAAAAATGCCTCATCCCCTTAAATTCCCTGTCAAATATTTAGAATGCTTGATCTAAAACACAGTGGGGAATATTTTTCTAATGACTTGTATGATTTTTTTCAGCCAATTCTTGATACTAAAGCAGTAGTTTTCCAAGTGGGTACCAAGGAGCCCCAGGTTTCCATGGACATGCTTTAGGACCCACCACAGAAGACAGAGTGCTGTGCTCAGAGACATGGAAGCGCCTCATCCTTTCCCCATACCTTGTCCTACATATCTTTCATCTGGCTATTCCTGAGTTATATATTTTTGTAATACACTGGTGATCTAGTAAGTAACATGTTTCTGAGTTGTGAGCTGCTCTGGAAAATTAACTGAGCCTAAGGAAGAGGTTATGGGAATCTCTGATTTATAACCAGGTGGTCAGAAACACAGGTGACAACCTGGGCTTGCAACTGGCATCTGAAGTCGGGTGGGCTGAGGGTGCACTCTTGTGAGACTGAACCCTTAACCTGTGGAATCTGATACTATGAGTAGACAGTGTCAGAACTGAGCTGAAGTACAGGCACCCAACTGCTGCTCAGATAAGTGGTGAATGTGTGGTGAAACCTCTTATCCATTAGAAATTGGGGTCACAATCACCCTTTTAGATGGATTAAAAAGCAAAATGACTATGTTGTAATCATATCTGACTTTCTTATCCTTCTGGGTTTCTTACTTCTGGGCACCATTTTATTGAGTATTTTATATTGACTAATAGGACCTCTCTTGTCCCACATCCATACATTTATATACACTGTACTCTGCAGTATTGGACAAAAAGAAATAAATAAATCTTATGGATAGGTTTTCATGAGATCCTTCAGCATCAGAAAGATCTTTGTCTATGAGAAAGACTAAGACTCACACTGGGTCATTTTGTAAAATGACATGTTATAACATAAAACAAAATGTATTCTTTTAGTAAGGACCAGGTGCTTAATCTCCAAAAGCTGTGATATACAAATGTGGGCAGCAATTTTTCCCAGATCATTAGTACTTATGGTATCCAGTTCAGTTAGGTTCAATCATTAGTTCCAAAATGCCCAAAGGCATACATTACAGAGAAACTAGAGTGTGAATTTCCTGAAAACAAAATTCGGTCAGGTTTTGTTCACTGCAAAATCCCCGGTGTCTTCAAGAGAGTAGTCACTCAGTAAATACTTGTACAACAGAAGAATGTTGCTCTTGGTAGATAGGCATTTTTTAGTTATAGGTGTTTTCAGGTTTCCAAACCTCTAAAACTTGGAAATTTCTTCAAACATTCCCAAGAAAAATCTTTGAGTATGACTTGTGCTGCTTAGGAGCATCTTTGTCTCAATACAATCATTTCTTTTGTACCTTATATAGGTGTCCATAATTGTCAAGGGAACCTATGTAGCCACGAAATAAATTTTGATTAATACAGAATTAGTGAGAAACCAAACTTGTAGAGACATTAACATTTATCTGAAGTTCCCTGCTTTCTTATCACTTCTACTAAACACTCCATACAAAATTAAATTAGACAGTTGAAAAGGAAAATGGGCACATGTTTTCAACATCAAACTGAAAAGAATGAACATCCTTTCATTCAAGAGACAACTTTCACTCCTCCTAGATTTACCTAATCATTGATGGTGGAAACTGCTATTTGA